GAGCAGTTAGTTGAGTGCCAACTGCAACGCGGCTGCCGAAAGATCCCGAAATCCCACAACCGAATACTGTATGTTAATTGGTCCATTTTAGAGCACAATCAGCAGCATTTTAGCCAATCAAACGACACATTGCCAGATTCCACCAACACACCACATAAAGTTCGTCGCCCTTCAACGATGGCGCTGTGCTCCGCTCTTGCCCGCGCTGTTCGCCGGCCATCGCGCATGCGCGGCTTCGCCTCCATGGTCAAGACGACCGACCCTGCCATCACGGCGCAGCTCGCGATGTTTCCGGAGCTCAAGGAGAGCCAGGACCTGATTGCATCCTCGCAGCCCGCCCGTGCGGTGCCGCCGCTGCGCCGCATGCTGCAGGTCTGCGAGTCGTTCTCGCCGGCGCTCGCGACCGAGACGGCATGGCTGCTCGGTCAGGTTCTAGCGTCGCTCGGCGAAACGAAGGACGCGATCGCGCTCTTTCAGAAGGACGCGGTGCACGGAAAGGAGCAAGCGATCCGCGTCGCGCTGCTCGCTGGCGACGTTGCCCTCGCGCGCAGCCTCTTGTCCAAGCCAGGCGCGATGAGCGCAGACAACGAAGCACTCTATTTGCCGTTGATCAACTGGCTCGGCGGTCACCCGATTGCGGCGACGATCGCGTCGACCGAGGCGTACGCCAAGGCCACCGAAGCACTCTTGGTGCTTGCCACGCATGCAACGATGGACAAGAAATCGCGAAAGCTCACGCTGGACGACGACGTTGCTAGCCAAGTCATTGGCGCGTGGAAAGCGGTCGTCGACGACGCTACCACCGACGACGTCCTGCGGGCGCACATGCATGCGAACCTCGGCGAGCTCTACTTGCTGCAAGCCAAGTATGAAGACGCCATGGAAGCGCTCTCGTATGCGCTCAAGTACCAGGAAACGCAGCCGGCGCTCTCGCTGCCCTTGGCGCGGACGCTTGTGCTCCTCGCGACGGGCTACCACCGCTTGGGCAAAGCCGTCTCGGCCGAAGGCCTCTTCACGACGGCGCTGGAGACATACGAGCGCAGCAAGTTGCAGACGTCGATCGAGTCGGCCGCGGCCGCCAAGGCACACATGGCGTACGGCGACCTCCTCTCGCAATGGGAGCGCCGCGAAGCTGTTGGCGCCAAGCACTTGGCGGCTGGCCAGGCGCAGCTGGGCGCGACGCCCTATCTCTGGAGCTTTGTCCACTTGCCCTTGTAAGATGCGCAATACACATTCGTCGTTGGTTTTCGGACATCTCTCGGTTGCGCTATCCGGATGAGATAAGTACGTACGACAGAAGCGATTAGCGGTTGGTAAGCCCAGCGTGGCGCGCTCATAGGCACCGACCCTGAGCCCTAGTCCACCGGCACATCACGACATGTCGAGTGGCTTGGCGGCACAAGTCGTTGACGTTCAAACGCGTCTACCTGCGGCATTGGAATGGGCACACTGCCGCCAAGGAGGGCAAATGCCTAGTTGCGCCATTGGAACGTTGCAGTCGAGGGTCTCATCACTCTCCCATCACAACGACGTCACTACGCTGCCTTGCCGCGTTTATTGCCACCGCAGCGATACCGCGGATGTTAAGACCCCGTGTTGGCCTGTCTATTATGCGTTTGGTGCATCGTGGCAAGGTTAGTTGGTTCGAGTTGATTCATTCGAATGGCGTCTTGATGCTTTCGCGGGCGTCGAAATGAACTTGGATACGTTTTCCACGTGGCACCACGAGAGCGCAGCATGACGATCGCGGTGCGTCCATACTGCCCATCGAATTTTCCAGCACCGTTCTCGTTGGCGCGAAAAGCGACCTTTGACTACGCCGCTGCAGGGCGCCGTCAGCAATACAACATCGTGTTTCTACTCTGTTCTTTGGCGTTGATGCCACATTGGGCGCGTACGAACTTGGCACTTAGCGATTTACACCCGATCGAGTATGAACTGGCAGCGCTTTCAGACGACCGAGTTTGGCGCGATCGTCGACCACGTGGTCACTGCGCCATGGGCGACGATGACGTCGACGCCGTCCAACCCAGAACACTACATGGGCAACTGCATCTACATCGATGCGTCCGTGGCACCTCCAGCAGGTGCGGACTTGGACGCAATGGAGGCCAACCAGCGCCAGGCCAACGCGCGCGTCGTCTATCAGTTCGTCGACGCCAAGGCCGCGAGTGCCCCGTTTGCGTCCGAGTGGAAGGCCTGTCT